AGCTGTGCAGAACACAGATAAGCTTGGCTGCATCGAACGGCGAAGCCGAACACAACTTATCCTGAACGGTGACATCGGCTCACTGAAGCCGATCCATCCGGGATATTACGCCGTCTTGCAGACAGCCACGCAGTGCGTCGTTAAGACGTAACCACCGCCGTTTCGCTAACTCGCGGTCAACGAAATCCTGTCGAGAACGAGGTTAGGCTTAACCAGTCGTAATCGTTACACATGTCCACAAGAACCTTCCGCCTTTTGCCGAGCTGCAGCTCCTCTGCAATCACCTTGTCTTCACCTTCACAGTCAGAATCTATAACAGACCTGCCAGCCCGTCTTTGTTGTGAGCGTTGGCTGGTTCTGGTCAGTACAGGCTCGTCTTCAGAATTTGAAAGCCCCAAAGAAAAGCTGGGCATCTCCTCCTCAACTGCAGGCTGCTCTCCAGCTCGTTCACGCAGCCTCTTTAACTTTCGGAGTCTCGACATTCTGCTTGAAGTGCAGTCAGCAAGGCTTGAGTTTGCAAAGCAATTGTCAAACCTAGCAATCTTTTACCAATTGCCTTTCAGACTCATTCTAGGTAATTGAAAGCTGTCAGAGCCAGTAAAGAGGCTTTCAGGCTTCAGCGGCTTGGCTGGGAGGATTGTTGATCAGCAGATTACCAGCTCACATCCTCCGATTCCTCATAGGTATTGCCCAATGCCAAGGTCTCCCTCAGGCTCATGACGGTCCAGCGTCCTCCTTCAGAATTCAAAAGCTCCTGAGTACTGCCTAGGTACAGGGCTGATTTTGAATTTTGCAGGAAGGCGGTTCGCCAATGTCTACGTGGCAGGACCAAACGTGCAGCAGCAAATGCACACGTGTTTGAGATCATGGGTATGGACCGGGTACCGGGTGCAAGTACCTACATTGAGCCGGTGAAGTACCGGTACACTAGCTGCATACTAACCGGTGGTACGATGGTAGGTAAGACTCTGCACCGTCCTGGGCAGCAAACAGCGTCCGCAAAAGCTTCCCCGGAAGAAGGACCGTCAAGGGTTCTCCCCCCGCGGTGCACAATCTACATTCCGCAAATTACCGCTCGTGCAAAAATCTTTAACCCCGACCGAGGTCCGCAGGATCCGCAGTGAGGTCCACCGTTATCGATTCCGGAAAATAATACAACATTTGGGCTCGCATTCTGTAAAATGATTGCATTTTTCAATGGCATTCGGAATCATACCTTGGCCGTACGGGTAGGTCGACAGAGTAGGCCACGAAAAGATATGGTTGATACATGAATTGGAAATGAAAGATGGGCAGCCTGCTAGGTACATCAGTGACAGTAGTACGGTACTGCTTGATATACTGCTAGCAATATAGCTATGTAGGCAAGAACACTTCAGATGCAAGGAAGAGCCATGCAACTGCGAGGAAACTTCGATGATATGGCCGCCGCGCGCGGGGCGCGGCCGGCGGCCGCATAGACTTGCGCGCGCCGCCGTCAGTCTATCCTAGCTGGCGCTTTTGACGGGCACGATTGGTTGACGGTCACCAAGGAACTTCCTGACATGCTGATCTGGCAAGGGCATCGCCACAACCACATGCCCACCTGGACGGTTTGAATGCATTGCAGCTGGAGAAGAAGGCATTGCGATTCAGGAATCAGCAAGCATCAAAGGGGCGCATAGCTTTGCTGCATTGGTGCGCAGGAGAGGCGTCATTCTTCCTTCAGGGGTGCACTTGCGTCAGGCGGACAATGGCGTCTGTTTCGTGCGCGCTCCCTGGCGCCAGCCGTGCGCTCGCTGGGGTCTCCCAGAGCTGCCCTCTGAGCCAGAACACGAGCGGGTCCGCCATTGTCCCTGCTCACAAGAGCTTCCTTGGGCAATGCAGCCACTTGGCGGCCTCCAGAGCTCCCGTCCGCTCTGGACGGCAAAGCCATAGAGGCACCCCTGTTGCCAAGATCAGGGAGATCTTCATGCCCGCTCTGTCGTCCACCATGACGGAGGGCAAGATCGTGAGCTGGCTCAAGGGCGAGGGCGACAAGGTCTCCAAAGGCGACTCTGTGGTTGTGGTTGAGTCCGACAAGGCTGACATGGACGTAGAAACATTTTACGACGGGTACTTGGCCGCTCTAGTAATTGACGAAGGGGACGTTGCGCCGGTCGGGGCCCCCATTGGCCTGCTAGCAGATACCGAGGCTGAGATCGAGGAGGCAAAGGAGAAGGCCAAGGGGCTCTCAGGCGGCAGCGCACCCGCTGCACCTGCGCCTGAGGCGGAGGCACCCCCATCACCACCCCCTGCTCCCACTGCTGACATGGCAGCGCCCCCGCCACCTGCCCCGGCTGCCGCCGCTGCGGGGCCCCCTCCTCCCCCCCCTCCTGTAGCAGCCCCAGCAGCGCCCGCCTCATCTGGCCGGATCGTCGCCACTCCCTACGCCAAGAAGCTAGCAAAGAAGTACAAGATCGAGCTGACGCGTGTCACGGGAACTGGTAACTATGGCCGGATCACGGCGGATGATGTTGAGAAAGCGGTCAACGGGCCTTCGGCGCCAGCAGCCGCCCCGGCTGCCCCTGCTGCTCCTGCATATGCGGCAGCCAGCCCCGCTCCTGCTGCGCCTGCTAAGGCCGCACCCGCCCCTGCAGCATCTCCAGTGGCTGGGACGACCGTGCCGTTCACAGGAATGCAGAATGCAGTGGCGAACAACATGAATGCCAGCCTGGCGGTGCCGACGTTCAGGGTTGGGTACACGATTACCACCGATGCACTGGACGCGCTTTACAAGCAGGTGAGGCGATCGGGTGGACAATGCACTACCGTAGGGACAGGTGACCTCTTAGTACCTCGTGGCGATTCGTAATGTCACATAAGGAGTCCTCTTTTCTGAAGTGCTTGCAATTCTTAGATTCTACCACTGCCTTGTGGAGTGTGTAATGGCTGTGCAAGAGGTTCAATCTTAGACGGTATGAGGGGTGCAGTGAGAATCTTTGATTGGAGAGACTCTGATCTGAAAGCCTTGAGTGGAATGATGTGAATTGCTTAGGCAAGGAACAATCCATTAGTGCACAATGCCGAAGCGTGATGCGCCTTGTAAGCAGTAAACAAAGCGGTGGATCATGACCCTTCAACTTCAAGTTCAGCACTTTTAGCAACTTTAGGTTTTGGGGGCAGAGAACAGCCATAATGTGGCTCTTTTAAAAAGTCAGTACAGGCATCGAGGCTCTTAGCTTTATGCATTTTGTACAACCTGCAGTGCAAAACGACAGTGAGATTGAGCTTTTCACAAAAAATCAGTCTGTTTGTCTGTTTGCAACTGATGCATCGAGAATCATCAAGCAACAATCTTGCGTCGTTTTGCCGATAAACAACGTGCATTTGGTCAGAAGGTATGATGCTGGTCTAGATCAGCGCTGCACCATACTTTTGGCTATCTGGGATCTGCGAAAAGGCACTCCTTGCAGAATCTGATGGTACAGGTTCAAAAAAAATTACTTCCCTGCTCTATTGCAAACACAGAGTCTCCTTTAATCTGCAAATTGCCAAATTTGCTGCATTGGATCACATGTGGTGGTAAAAAGTGAAACTGGCTCCGTGTGACGCATTCAGATGCAGAAGCACTTCCTACACAAGTGCGCCTTTTGAGAATGCCAAAGCTCTGCATTTAGCTGCTCTGCATTTGCACTCAACTGCCTCCGAAATGTCTCCCCAATCTTCCTAAGAACTCTTCGCGGAACGCTTGGAACAGGACATGATTGGAATCTTAAGAACAGCTCTCAGATTATGCTCGCAGAGTGTATCTCAGCATTCTCGCCTTTAAAGAAGTGCGCCACAACTTCCTAGCCCCGTTCTTCTGGTGTGCAGTCCAACAGCAACAGCGAGGTTCTTGCTAGAGCTCATCTCTTGACCTGAATTGAATTTAGTTCGTCTTGATACAGCATCAAGCAACATAAGAGATGAGCCGCCAAACTCCCATAACTTGCGCCCATTTCACCATCATTGGGAGCAAGGGCCCAGTTGTGATCTTGAAACAGCCAGTGTGAAACCAAGCAATCTCCAAAAGCAAGACACAGGCAGTTCGTCAACCAGTCTTTTCATCCACAATCCTCATTCAAAAATTGCAATTCCCTCCTTAAGTTTAGTGAGGGCATAAGGCTCCGTCGTTGTTGAAACGGCCAATGCAAATAAAAGTCCTTCTACAAAAGCAAGACACAAACAGTCCGTCAAATTGTCCTTAGGTTGCGCGTCGACCGAAACCTACTTGGGCTCCTGCGTCGCCTTTGTAGTAACGACAGGTAGGAGATAAGGTTCTTTTCAAGCTATACTACTCCTCTAATATCTACCTTGGGCTGCCACGTGGATCTGAAAAGCCATCCGATTGGCTGAGAAAGCTGGGAAGCTTTTCGCAGCTTTTCTGTCGACGCGCACCCTTACACCTATAATTGTTGTTTCCAGATCAAGAGCAAGGGCGTGACGATGACCGCGCTCCTGGCCAAGGCGACCGCGCTGGCGCTAGCGAAGCACCCGGTCGTGAATTCGTGCACCAAGGACGGCAAGAGCTTCACGTACAACTCGAGCATCAACATCTCGTGCGCGGTCTCCATCGACGGAGGACTCATCACGCCAGTGCTCCAAAATGCCGACAAGGTAAGAGCATCACGCCAGTGCTCCAAAATGCAGACAAGTAAGAGCGTCGGGGCCCTGAGATTATCACTAGGTTTATAGGCGAATTGTGGAATAGTAACCATAGGAGCCCAGACAAGCAGAGGCTCGCTTAAGCGTTGATTTTAAAGTCGATCTAAGTGTGAGTGTTGGGAACTAGCCCCTTTGGTCAGAGCTCAGTGCACTCTTTTCCAACCGGAGCAGGTTGGAAGGAACCAACTGAATTTGTAGGCGGTTCATTGGATATTTATGCTGTAGATTGTCTGAAAAGGGGCTATGGCCAGCTAGCATGTACGGGGCTGACCCGCGTTGGTTTGTTGCCACAGCATTTGACAAACAGAAGATAAAGCGCGAACTTCAGGCAGCCCGAAGTTGAAATGTATGGATCTCAAAGACTCGCTCGATGCGAATTCAAGCATACCATACATGCTTTGACAGTCCCTCACTGTCTCGTCCTGCCTCGCGACCAAGCCACCGCTAAAGCTGGCCTCCCGAGCTTATTCATACCTGTTACTTAAATGCCTCGTTTTAAGCACTCGGGTTAAACACTCCCCATGCTGAAACACTGGAGCTTACTCACGAACCCTACACTTTCGCTCCCCAGGTCGATATTTACACACTCTCCCGGACATGGGGCGAGCTGGTTGGCAAGGCACGCAGCAAGTCGCTGTCACCTGCAGAGTACAACACAGGTGAGCCGTAAAGTTAAATTGCAGTGTGGTTGGCATGAGTCAGAGGGTATCTGTCATGTGGGATGATTGGAAGGAGATCGTATGACTAGAATACGCCGCAAGAGCAAGATCTGTATTCACTGAAAATGCGGGAAGCATTGGATTCAGGCGAATGCAAGGCCTCATATATCACAGCGAGTAGGCTTCCCTTCTTTGTATCAAATAGCGAAAACTAAGTCAGTTGTCAGCTTTCGATCCGAATCTAAGGAACCCGATTTTGGCTACAACGTCCGGCTTTGGATCACCGTCGAAGTATTTGATTGGAGCCAGCAGATCTATCTGGACTGGCTGTTGTTTGGAGGGGTGTTCACACCCTTTCGGATGTCTACTGCTGGACAGGCCTTTCAGGCCGATGAGGGACTAAAGAAGGAACATTCTGGTTCGAAGTATCGGTACGAGGTCCGAAAGCAAGCGTGATGCCAACAGCTCAACGGGCAGAGAACACCAACTATTTCCTGCGCCAGCTAATGTTCACTTGTGTGTGTAGTCCCAAGTTCTCTGGTGACTTTTGGTTTCTTACTTCAATCTTTCTGCCTACCCTTCTCTACGTTATACTTCGGGAACCTTCCGCTGGAATCTGCAAGTTATGCCTAGAGCTCACCCGTCTTCGCACATTGAATTTAAATACAGTCGCTTATTCAGTGCTCTCGTCGGGCAGGCACTTTCACCCTCTCCAACCTGGGCATGTTTGGCGTAGACCGGTTTGACGCCATCCTCCCTCCAGGACAGGTACGCCTGCTTTGCCGCGTTGCTTTGGTGTCAATCTTATTCGAAGTCTCTTCAGTCGACCATTACAAGCGCAGCTAGTGCTCTAGCCTTGCTGAAATGACATCATGAGCGCTTTGGTGAATCGTCCATTGATACGCTACTGGCTAGTGGACGGTCGAGGATCCAATGCCGATCATTTCCGAGCCCTGGTTCTCAGTCTCGAGGCTTCTCATGAATGGACACACGTATGCACCACCCAAGCGGCAGGAAACGGGTCTATTGAACCTTCCGAGCTTGCAACCCGCTGAACCATCTGTAGCTACAAGAACTGTTTCTGTTCGGCTGCAGTGCTACTGTAATCATTATGCACTGGGATGAGGATTCGAATCTCCGATCATTCTACCTGTCCACGGGTCCGATCCAACACACACGTGGCTCTTCTAAAGCCCGCTTCCTTTTCGTGAACTGTCGTGACACAGCAGTTATCAGCCTGACCCCCAAGAGACTAATATTACCTTCGCAAAAGTCGGCCAAAACGCGCACAATCAGTCAACTCAGCAGACCCGCTTATTCCTCATCGGTAGCCCCTTCAGCACTCTACTCTCAACAGCCGGAGCTTTGTTGCATGTTCATCCTGTTGACGTCACCCTGACGTTCTCGCCTTTCTCTCAGGGCGCCATCATGGCCGTCGGTGCGTCGCAGCCGACGGTCGTCGCCACCGCGGACGGTATGTTCGGGGTGAAGAAGCAGATGCAGGTGAGTGGCGTCATGCTTTCACGGCACGTGGCCAGCTTCTGAGTGACGTCATCCTTCCACGGCACGAGGGCCGCTAATGAGTGGCCTCATCCTTCCTCGGCACGAGGCCAGCTTCTGAGTTGCATCTTCCGGGAGGCCTTTTTTCTGAGCCCCTGTGCGTGGTCTGAGGTCGCAAGGTCGCCGACAGACTTGCGCGGAAGTGTGAAACTCGCAGAACAGAGTGATGTACAGAGGACCGTGAAGCTGGCCAGCTGTCGGAACACTATTTTTGGAGCGCCTCAAAACAAGGTGGTTATAGAATCTTGCCACGTCTTTCCTTTACTTCGTTCTAGTATTGATGACGCCCCTTGCTCCATCTTTCTCTTGCTTTTGGATGTAACTGCATAGATTCATGTCTCACAAAGGGACTTGGAGGAATCAGTCTGCTTGTACGCAACCAGCTTCTCAAGCACGTCTATCTCTGGAACATGAAAGGACCAGTGAGCCCTCGTGTTTCTTCTTACGGGTTTGAGACCAAGTTCATCTTCTCGGGCCATAGAGCATCCGCGTCTCCTGAAGTAGTCGACTGGCTCTCTCTACGTTTCCCATAGCATCAGGCATCCGTTTTGTCAAGCCTCTTCCATGCTTAACCACTCACCCACCCTTTGGCCTGAAACCGTGGCACGCCCGGTAGAGAGCCCCGCAGTCTCCAACGACAGCAATAACCCGTCAGGGGGATCATTGGCACTCTGCACTCAGCATCAAAGCCCGTATAGAAGTTCGCTAGGTAATGGTAAGGTGGTCGAGCCCCCTTTCTGAACTCCGAGCACATCTTTCCTGCAGGTCAACGTGACAGCCGACCACCGGATCATCTACGGCGCTGACCTTGCCGCGTTCCTGAAGGACCTGGCGGCAATCATTGAGAACCCTAAGGATCTAGTCCTGTAATTTGGGCTTTAGGGCTTAGGTCGAGTATTCTGTACACGTTCAATGAATGATGGGCGCACATCAAATTGGTGGTGCTCATTAGATTCGGCAGGACGCGTATGCTTAGGAGGTAGGCAGCTTTGTCACTGGTCGAAATCGTAAGCTGCCGCCTCCGGAGGTGTTGGTGATAGAACACGCAAGCGGTGTCCCGTTATGGGATCATGCACCCTTGGACAAACGAGTTGCGGTTGGGAGAGTATTCTCGCTTATAACCTGGAGGTTATCCATGTCGTATTCGTCCGTTGTCCAACTTAGCTAGAGGTTCCCAATGATGTTGGATGGCATACAATGATTGTCCGACAGCATGACATGGCATATAACTTGCATGTGACGACGGCCGGTTCATAGTTGACAGCCTATTTGATTCAAAATTCGTTGACACACCGTCACGGCGTCAGTGGCCTTGAATTGCAATTTAGCCGGGCTCAGAACTTAGAAGCAATGACAGCAGATGAAGCGATGTATTAGTTAATGTATTGCAGCCAGTGCAATCGTTCTTTCAAGTCAATCTATATTGCGTCCGTTAATGAAACTCTGAGCTTCGCGCTGTGGTTCGTTGGAGCTCATGCATGTGAGTCCATCGGCCGGGTGCTCGGCTATCAAAGCTGCCGCGGATGGTACAGCCAGTCCGCAAACGAACATGCAGTCTATTTTGACAACAACGGGGTCACGCATCTTTTCGATGAGATGTGCATGATCTTAAGTGGCGCCGCGACGACAGCTGCAACAGTCGATCAGCGCGCATGCTTGCGACCGAGGTTGGGCTTTTCTGGAACCAAAAACTTGGCAAAGTCTGCCAATTCAACTTCACCACAACAAGCCTCAGATTCAGAGTATACTTGGGGTCTTCTAAAAAAAAGTTCGTTTTACACTATAGCCCGATTCCGATTCATGAGCAAGGTGTCTTCGTCAGGCCCCTTACTAACTCATGCAGTCCCAAGTTTGTCCAACCTTCGTGTTCAGTAAACAGGAGGTGCAGTATCTCTCGGGTTTACAGAGAAAGAATTGCCAGGGATGGTATAGAAAGTGCTCATAAAAGGATCGCATAGCAGAGCATAACACTGTTTCACACTGATAGCAAAGAAACCTTTGAATTATCTACAACACGTACAAAACACATGGGCAAGTTTTGATACAAGAGGGCCACTGAGAAGTAGCAGAGAACCTGGACACGTGGCGGCAAATATGGACTTGGATCTCAGATGGGCAATTTTCAAAGCACCAAAAGAGGAAACGATGGCCTTGCTTGGTGCAACCCATTCAGCAGTGATGATACTTAAGTTCAGAAGTTGACAGTGACACGACAATAACCGATACAAGAGGTTGTCAAGCATATGCATCACCGCTCGCTAGAGCAATGGCAGCATTATCAGTTGCAAGGTAGAAACGCGAAATCCACAAAGCTGCTTAGTGGAGCATGTACTTAGCTCAGTCTCCTCAATCGAGTTTATTCAGTCACATAATTTACGCCACCTTTGACGCTACCCCAATGCTGATCTTTCATAATTGCTTGCAAACCTACGAAAACATACGCTACACTTGAACGTTTGTGACTGGCGGCTGTGGCCCCTGCTTGTTTTCACCACCCAGCAACCCCACACTGCCGCAACTATCCACCAGCACAATCTTGAGAATGATTCTTTCTTTATTGTCAATTGCATGGCAGCTTCTTATGGACTCAAAGCAGAGAGTATTTGCTTGTTCGTCTTGCCCTTCTTTGTCCACATGTCCATGCTTCCTGCTCTGAACAAAAGCGTGCTGAAAGGCTTTGGCACGCTATTCAATACTCTCCTGGGAGCTGAAGATAATGTCGTGCCAGATTCCTCTCCTCTTGATCTTCCTATATATACATGTTCATGTAACCCTGTCCAACTCTGAAACCCCCCACAACCCTGAACTTTCAGAAAGCTCATTTAGCAAGTGTGACAGTAACACCACCTTTGTCCGCTTACCATTGTCTTCATGTTTTCACACCGCAGCAGCATTGCGTTCTGCACACTTCCCTCAGAGATAAAACCACCGCCCGGAGCCCCTAAACATATTCCTTGTGTTGCTCCCCAGCATCTACGTCCCCTTTTTTGCCTCTCCATTTCTCCTCACCTTCATTTTGCTTTCCCTTGCATTCCTTACCCCCTTCCAGTCAGCACCCCTTGCCCTATCTCTGAACCCATCCAGCATTCGCCTGACCTGACCCCTGATGGCAGTCCTCATTCGCCCCTCATCCCAGGCTTTCAAAACCCTCCTCCCCACCTACCAAAACACAAATTTCCACCAAGACCTACTTCCACGGTCTGCTAGTACTTTTTTGCGCATCCAACTTCGCCTTCAGCGCTCGCCGCTTATCCGCCTCCGCCTGCCTCCCCTCGATTGTCCTGTTCGCCTCGTCCAGGTACCTCTTAAGGATTCTTTCCAGCTCAGTGCGCAGCCTCTTATCTTTCATTTCTCTGTAGACTTCCCCCTCCACCCAGGGCGGGTAAAACTGACTCCGCGGCTGGCCCGCCACAATGGGACTCAGCAAGGCCCAATATACGGTGTCAACCGCACCCAGCAGCCGCTGAGCCTTGGCGGTTGACACTCTGAACAAAACCGGCAGCAGCTTCTGTCCACACAGCCCGTCCTGCGTCACTCCCCGCGCAATGCCAAACTCTTTCCCTGCGAGAAACTCCTCGAGAAAGATGACGCTCTCCGGGGTCCGCGCGCCGGCGCCCCGGGGGGTCCCCGACACCTCCGCCCAGACCCTGTCGCAGAACGTCTGCGGGAACTCCTCGGGGTTTGCCGCCCAGCACTTGAGCAGCACCTTTGCAAAGACGGTGTACTGGTTCTTGCGCTCCGCCCGCAGCCTGTTCCTTGCGGCAGCGTTCACGGCTGGCGCGCTCTTCCGCACGTCCGCTTTCTGTGCCGGTTCTAGTTCCAGCAACGCCAGCTCATTGAACACCCAGGAGATGACCAGACTGCATGGGAGGGCGTCCTTTGCAGCTGGGATCTGGTCTCCCCCCCAGGCCCAAAACGTGGGTGGGTCGTCTGGGATTGCGTGCTTCTCCAAAACTGGGCTCTCTGCGCCTTTGTTCAGTTCAGGGGAGTCCTCTCCAACCCGCCCTTTGCGCTGCCACCATTTCAGGGAGAAGCTGCGGCCTCTCATCCTGTCCTCTGGCGGCAGCAGAATCGCAAAGGCTGCAGCTAGACCATCCACATATTGGCGCCCTCCTAGCTCTGGCCTTGTAAATCTGAATCTGCTTGTTCAATGTCCAAGCTCTTCCGTGGTTCCACTGTCTTCCACTACTGTGACTCCTGTGTAATGCGGAATGGGCTACCAAAAGCACCCGCTTCCGTGCGAGCGCCCCACCATGACGCCAATTTTGATGCAGGCCAGTCTGCCTGCATGATGCAAGCAAGAGCAGGACTGCACAGTGCAGACTACAGACTTTCTATTTCATTGAGTTCTTCCACTTGGCGAAGAATCCTGAGATGATTTGCTATTTTTGGAAGGAAGTAAATGCAAATCCTCCCACGGTGATTGTGGAATCTTGCGCCGAGTCAACCGGGACAATACTGTCAACAGTAGTGCCCGGAGGGCGTCATGAAGCCCACAAAGCAATTCTGGAAAAGCGAGTCCGACTGCCCGGTCAAGTCGTGCTCTTGAACCGCCCCAGTCCCAACCTCAATGTGCCGTACAATGTGCACGTGCTGATTGTACGGACGGTCTGGCGGCCACAGAACCGAGATACAATGTCAGGATACCCCTGTGAATGTGATTGGGCGGCAAGTGCAGAATCTAAGGTAAAGTGCTCTGAAGTCGGACGCTTCCTTTTGTCGGACACCCCCTTTTCCGAAAGTCGAACATGCTCGTTTCAAGTCTCGGACAGGGGGGTCTGTGGCAGTTTCAGTGTAGTTTGGCCGTTAGATGTTCACTACCGACGGTTTCAATGCCTTCATTTTGCCTAAAGGACCCCCAGCGGGTCTCTGAGGCCTCATTTATCTTGCCATAACATGTTGCGGGGGGTACTCTGGGCCCCCTGGAACCGCTGTGATAAAGCGGCGGGACAGTTATGAAAGGTTATTCGTTGCAATACGGTATCCTGGTGCATGGTTATTGATAGAAATCTTTGCCTAATAAAGCCCCATCTTATACTGCCAATACCTAGGATTTGGCTGTCGTATACCCCTCATATAGCCTGCATAAAGCCTTGTGAAATATTAGTAAGTGCATGTTTCGAGAAGCGAAGTATTTGTTTAGCCAGAAGGCTTGGGATCATCTAGGAACATGCCAGAAGCACATCTGAAGCCTCCGTTGTACTTTCTATGGCCATCTGACGGCCAAAAAGATTGTTATTGAGCTTGTCCGACCTCAGAAACAGGTGTCCGAGATTCGGAAATGGGTGTCCGAGAAATGGATTTCGTGCTGTTTTGAACTGCACCTTTTTGTGTAGATAACTGGGTCAAAACTGCATCGTTTTGGACCAGGTTTTGAGTGGCAAGTAGACCTTATCATGCAGATTCCGGCATTGTGTCGAGCACAAAAATTGGCCGTCATTTGACCCTTGATTTCCTTGACCGCGCTTAGGTGTCCGAGAATTGGTGCTTTTACCTTACAACTTCATCTGCACTCCAAAAAGAAATGTGGCAAGAGCTTCAGCTAATTTTCCTGCCAGCGAGGACACTTTCCGTTTCTGGAAGATTTGCACTCTCATTACCTCATGTGAGTCGTGAGTAATTTCGAACAGTGATGTGATCAAGGTGCCCCAGGGCGGATTGTGAATTTATACAACCAACAATAAGAGCTGGTCAACTGTGTATATTATGGTTGTACTACGATACACACAATGAGAAGTTCAAACCTTGCTCGTTCTTGCTGATATGATTCTTCGCAACCGGCAGTCTTCAAGAGAAACCATTCGCTTGGGTTTGTGTTTGATTTGTCAATATCAATGTGGGGTTCTAGGGCGTGGAACGTAGCAATGTTGTAGACTACTGGATTACCTTTGGCAACACATAATCTTTGAATCCTGAACCCAACAAGCTCAAGTAGCAACCAAACGGTTGGCAACAGAACACCTCAAAGACTAGTCATCGGCTCCATCAGCAAGGTCAGGTTCCGCATCGCCCATGATCTGCACAAGTGAAAGATCCTAATTCAGCAAACAAGACTTTTCGAAAGCAAGCATGAAACTTGTGATTTGGAAAGTTTTTGACCCGACGACAGCGTTGGGTTTCAAACTACTCTAAGGGAGGCTCCAGGCCATTTACAACAACAAAAACAGCGGACCTTCGGACAGTAGTCGATGTTTCGTTTAGCCTTTAGCAGCAGATAGTGGACCTGGAAGGCGTACTTCATTCTTCAATCAGCGTTCGCAGTATACCGAACCGAAGAGTTTCACAATAGACACAAACGAGATTTTCCTTGAAGACCTAAAAACATCTGCGAACAAACATACGCCGACTGTTTCAGCTACTCACATACGAGATCGACATTGCGGGGGTTCTGGCCAGCCCTTGTCCCCTCACCTGCTTGATCATGTCCTGCAGCTTCTCTGTCCCGACCTGACTCTGGCCGACGTCACCCATGACGTAGTGCGTCTCCGGCTCGTCGCCTGGGACTGCCACCTTCTCGATCAGCCTGCGCAAAAGGAGGTCACGTTACTTTGGCAAGAACTGACAGGATTTCGGACGCCTTCAAATAAAGACCAAAGGCTTCAGAGAAGAAATATTGCACGGTCAGGGACCGACTCATCTTGAATAGCGGTTATCTACCCAACCAGCCGAAGCAAACTGGTAAGGTGGGTCGTTTCGAGCGGGCAACTTCGATGTAAAACAGGAAACCCTGGCATGGCCTGAGGGCTTATCGAAACCGCTGACGTGATCTCGAAAGGGTCTAGGGCCCTTGACTACCTTCTCGCTTGATCAGCGCGAAACAGGATCTGTGTCAACCTTGAAACGGATGAAGAAGGATCTATGAACGGCCAATCGGCGGAATTGGGACCATTGGCGGGCATTCTTGGGACGTGCCAGAGCTTGATTTCAGATTTATTTGAAACAAACGTTAGGTTTGCCCCGAGGGAGCAGCATTTGTCAGGGCCAAACAGGCATACTTACCTCAACCGCCCACTGAAAAGATGGGACTCATTTTGTGGAACTTCAGACGGTCGAGAAACGATCGAAGGTGAGAATTTTGAAAGAAAGTCTCCAACGGAAACGCGCTCTGGAACGGTGAGAGAGAATCTCGAACAACATGAGTGATTTTGCAGATTGGCTGGCCCCGAGGGTTGGGACCTGACATCCGGTAGCTATCTGATGCATGAAAAGGGTGCATGTGTAAGTTACAAGCAGCTCAAAGAAGACAGTGAAATTTGCGACAGTCAAAGAATCAGTGAAGTGGGAGGGAAGCGGCCGAACAATCAGGGTCGGGAGGCTCAGCTGCCACGCTGGCGAACTCAGTACACACAGCCGGTGGGCTCGAGATCACCAATCTTTTCTTCTGAGTCCCACGATGATTACAGGTATGTGCTGTCCGTAGCATTCGCCAAAATCATAGCAGTATGTGTAGGTTAAAGCACCGGCGATTCAGTTGAAACACGCGCCACGCCGCGCGAGCGGGGTCGCCGTCGATCCTCACCTTTGCTTGATCAGGGCCTGAATGGCAGCATCGACGTTGCCCAGGGCGGGGTGCGCGTCATCTTCAGCCTTGACACCAAGCTTCGAGAGATAGTTGTGGAGGGCCGCTGCGCAAAACCGCGGTGTCAATGAACGTGCAGCAGCCGCGGCCTCAAGCCAAACACGAGCCGCTAGGCGAAAGGGGTCGCCAACAGAATCGATCTGCGATTCCAATAAATTTGACAAGAACGACAATGCAGCGACTGCCGCTTGCGTGTGGAGATGACAAAATATACCAGTCTTCAGTAACAGCTTGATTCGAGCACTCGCCGGTTTTGTTTGGTAGAGGCCACAAAACGAATCCGTGCTGCCCAAAACCCACTGCAGTCAGTGCCTTCTATTCTGGACAGTAGAAGGCCCGTGCGTCGAGACTACGATCGCTTCAGCAATGCAGCGCCGATTCATGCAAGGACAATGAGTTGGGCGACCGAACATTCATCCATGTATCTTTGTGGTATTAGTCCTGATCAGTACAGCCATTTTAGCTACCTTTTCTACAGACGCGGATGGTCTTTTTTCGCGGACGATCTGCTACACGTTCGAAGAGTTTGTCCACTTTTAAGCAGACATCGCATTCGAGCGCTCACCCTCGCTAAGGGAGTCCTGAGCCAAGTGGATAAAGCACAGCGGCGAAGCCTTGAAAGGACGGTTGAGCTTGTTTTCGTTACTGCAACAGCCTCCTCAAAGCAAGATACTCGCTGTCGCATGAGGCGGCGCTCACCCTCGCTAAGCGAATCCTGCGCCAAGTGGATCAAGCACAGGATGACGGCGCCAAAGCCCTTGAGCGACGCCGTCTTGGGGGGCTCCACGAAGCGCTGCCGGAGGTCCAGCGGGAGCAGGCTCTTGAGGAGGTACGTCTTGGCGCCCGTACCTTCCCCAGCTGGAAAAACATGTCGGAAGTTCAGGGGATGGGCTTTGTTGTGCTCCACGATTGGCTGCATGTTACGTTGCCTTCCCTGCTCGGGCACCTTAAACTCGCACCCAAGATGTTGCACGGCCAATATGCGATTCATTAGGTGCGAAATCTAAGTAAGTCGACGATATACCGTACTCTCCGCCTTCATGGTAGCTATCGAACACTTTGTCGAAAGGAACATCTTGGGTGTGTGGTTAAGGGGGCCGGGCTGTCCGCAAGTGCCTCCGAGCTTTCGTAATGAGTGTTCGTTCACACTTTGTGCATCTTCACCTATTTGGAGCAAGAGACGAGCAGAGAGGCTCATACACTATCTAGCTCTTTTCCTGTTAAAAGTGACGGTCACAGAATCTGGCCCCTCACCTTGCGACGTTCTCGCTCAATGCGGACGGCAGAGAAGCTGCACTTCGTCTACTTTGCTTTCTTGCCGAAGCTTTCCAAAGGATTCATAAGTCGAAATTATCTTGGGTCCAGAAAACTCATATCGGCATATTCCAAGCGTGTGGAAATGCACGTCCAACATCGACTTGTGCATAACTTCAGTGACATCATAGCCCATTCCAAATTTGCATAAAGCCTTCCTCAACTCACGGTCTGCGCGCCTGGGCCCTTTCTTCCGCGCCACCCGCAGCTCCTCCTTCATCTCCATGCCAAAGATGCTCACAAACTTGGCCTGCGCGAGGGTGATGATGTGGCCCGCCGTGCCGCGCCGGTCCTTGTACGTCTTGTTTACCACGGCGAGAATGTCCTCCCGCTTTACTGGGACGCCGGGATTGCTCCCATTCTTGAACAGCATGAGGCGCATCACGTCTGCCACCAACTTGTCCCCTTCCTGCGGAGTGCAAAATTGGAATAGTTACTCAGGACGTTGCTTGAAGTATAAGTCAAACTCCGTGTCTCAAGCAGAAGAGGCTCTTTCTTTTACAAAGGATCGGTAAGAGCACCCGTTTGTATCAGGATTGTCCAGGAGCATCGTCAGAAGCGTGCAAGAAGGACACGGTGGATCAGGCCTGCCAAACCTCAGGATTATATGCAATGGAAAAGTAGGAACAAAGATCGTGCATGGCAATGAACTGACTGGTGAGTCTGATTGAGACCTGGAGTATGTCAGCTGATGAGAAACTCCAGGACTCGGATGTTGTTGACCTCAAGCATTAATCAGACCCCCATACTTGGTGCTCTGGTTTTCCTTGGAATCTCTTACTTCTGTGCAAAATTGTACTGCTGCCCTTCAGGTCTTCAAATGAGAACCTATTCCAACCCAGCTGCCATTCATGGTTCGTGAGAGTGACAGATGTCTCACCTCTGAAGTCAGCCCAAATGGCTCCAGCTCCACAGCCTCAGCTGCACTTGTGTAGCGCTGCGTCTGCAATATCAAAATTTAGAAGCCATAAGGACATAATACTTGTAAGACTCGCCCTAGGAACGGGTGGGTTGGTGTGTTAGTTAGAATGGTTTTGGATGCGGAAGTGTCACGTTTGTTGGCCAGGTTTTCTTCTTGATCAACGGCAATGGGTGCTTCTCATGTAATTGATCCTTGTAAGTGTTAGTTTAATTGGTATGTCATGATTGGAGTATCTCATCGCTGCAAGTTCATGAGATTGCTCATTGGCTATTCTCCCTTAATTCATTCCCCTCGACACCAACTCTGACTTGTTGAATCCATGTATGCCACAAGCTTTTCAGCGTTACTAATGCGTGTGTACTGTCAAGTATTGCCGACCCACAGTTGGAGTGTTTCACACCAGGACCTGAAGCTTGATTACCCACAGGTAGCCATTCCTGCAGAGCGTTTGGCCCTTCGCAGAACAGACAAGGTTAACTTAGCCAACTTAGGCAATCAATTTTGCAAACGTTCACACCCACCAGCTCCTCAGCGGTTTCTTCCCCGCCCTCTCTTCCGGTGGCCCCTTCCTCCTGGCCCTCTTCCTGTTGTCCCCTCACTGGTTCTTCTTCCTCTTCATCCCTTTGGGCCCGCTTTCCTGCAAACAATACAATGAACATGCTTTCTTTCCAAACAAGCAGAAGGAGTTTAGGAACTGCAGGGGGGCATATCGAACCAAGAACACCAGTGCACAATCTTCCAGTAGAACATGATCCTTCTGATTGCAGAATGAAACAGGGACTCTGACCATTTTGTAAACCTCTTCTTCCGCGCCGAATATTTCTGCCCTCTTTAAAGAATCCTCTATTAACCTTTTGCAGCTTTTTGGGGGCATACTTTTGAGCCCGCTGTCCACTCAAAGCAGAGGCTCAGCACAAACCTACACTTCGCCCAGTCTTGTACTTCCACACAGTGGAATAGAGAAAACCCATTGCAGCCGCAGCATACAACAAGGAAGCCGACAGGTAGGACGATGACAACAGCAGTGCCTTCTCTTAGAGTTTTGACCCGCACCTCGTCTGCTCTGCTTCTGTGTGGCCCTGGGCTGCGCCTCTTCTTCCTCCTGGACAAGACAGCAGGGCGGCAGAAATTTTGAAGGCATGCCACTTTCTGAGGTTCACTCAGCAATCTCAAAAGTGGCAGTTCTTCCTTTGCTGGACCATATTTGAATCGTCTCCTGATGTTTGATGTATCAGCCCCCAGGAAAGCAAACGAGTATGAGCATGGTTACAGATACATCAGGATCACTCCAGAAGCTCAGGAAGTGACAATGAATTATACGGCCATCTTGACAACCTAATCAATGACAGCCATCTTGACAACCTAAATGCTTACTTGAGTTTGGTTGGTAGGTTCTGGAGGACCTGCAGTGCTCATAACATTCAGGCAATTAACAGCTCTCATTGCCCCCCAAACGTCAGATTCGCACTTCTTACACAGCCTCTGCTCACCTCCTCCACCGCCGCACGTTTGCCCCTTGGCATGCTTAGAAACACTCAGCCAGCTGTGCGTGCTGCTTCTTGGAAACCTCGCAACTGCAACTGCTTGCGCGACCGTTCCAAGCAAACTAATGCAATGCGCCCAAGCCTCCTTGTCCCAATAGGTCAACTATTTTAAGCAGCGAAACAATCCTTGAGCCGTCACGTTGGGATGCTTGTCCTCTGACTCCTCTCTAACTCTGCGCGTCGAGCTACATGAGTTGAACACTTTGCAAGCTTCCTTGAGCTTTGGAGCTTTGGAACTTGAGCTTGAATCCACTGGCACAAGCTTTGAAACTTGGATTTGCAAACGCAATGCAAGCTTCCAATTTTGAGTTTTTTCTCCCGCCAAAAAACCAGCCCCGGGCGTGCCCGGTGATGGTCTTGCTCGGTCAAACGATCCCTGCCGTCGGATATTCGGGGTCGCTGCGGCTACTGACCGTTCGATGATACGATGTGTGTCCAGATGGGCACCCGGAAAAGGGATCCCCGACCACACCACATGTAGGCGCAAAAATAGCATGAGCTGCCCTATCTACTGTAGAATTTAGAAAGGAGTGACTCTTGAGGCTAAGACTGAAGGGATGCCCTCTGCAGCTCATGCTGTTTGTATCCTGGCCCGAATCTTACGGTATAAGCATCATGAATGATGCCCTCCTCTTGCAGGGGCCACTTTTCTGCAGCAAGAAAGCCCAAAAGCCAGAACAAAACCGAAGGCGTTGGGCATTCGCAGACCCAGGGATTCTAGGCTCTAGGGTACGAAGTGTGTGATAGCGGAAGAGCGATTTGGTGTGCTACAAAGTGTTAGTGCCGTGTTATCACTAATACGCTCGCAACTGAGCTTGCTGATCAACTTGGTACAGTCACATTGAGGAAGAGCACCTTCAATAAGATCCAGCTTGCCAGCATTGCAACCATGCTGTCTGTATCTGCAACCATGCTGTCTGTATCGGCAACCAAGGTCATGAATTGTTGATAGGCCAAAGCTTTTGAACTTTGCACCCTGAGCATCCCAAGGAGAGTTGCAACACAATGTTTAGCGGAGCTTGGTAGCCAGGGATCCCCCGACCAGTGTCAGGCAGCTTTCCGCGAATCGTTTAAGAATTAGCCATGTGTTGCTGGCCATTGCTTTTTAATTGAAGGTTCGCAGCAAAAGTTGACTGCCTGAGATCGGACCGCTTACCGAATCCTGAAAACAAATTAGGGCTTCTGGAAGACCTTGTGTAATCAATCTGGCTGCAATGGGGGGCGACAGCGAGCCTAAGCGAGGCGTGAACGGATTGCTCTCGAAGCTGACCCCAAAGGAACTCATGGGACTGGCGGCGGCGCTCCTGTGAGTGACCGGAACTTCCCGACTTTCGGGACAGCTCACATTTTGCTTATGCAGGATTGTGTAGTCAGTCAACGCTTTAAGAATGCAGGTTTTGCATTATTCTGCGGTTACATCATAGTGCAAAAAGACTAGCGTTTTAAGATTTTTGGATCAAGTCTTTGAATTTTTGGAAGCCATGAATGCTTTTAGCAAAGCTTGGCACGCGCTTCAGTTGATAATGTGCGCACGCAAAAGCTCACATGTTGATAGCATTATTCTTTGTCGCACCAGAGTAACAACATACGGTTCATTTTCAGAGATGGTATGTAAAAGGATTGACAGTTGCAGTTATCCCATCAACTATCTGGCGTAAAAGCTAATGGTGAAATGTGTAACATTCCATATTTGACATAACATAGGTGGCCAAAGTTACTGTGCCTTCTTGACTTTGATAGGCGGGCCTGCAGACCCCTGGCTGGGGCGTAAGAGATGAATGAGCTGTAACCCATTAGTTAGCCCAACCTGCTTCTGCCGGACACATCAAACCACAAATCAATTTTGCTATCCATCCCACCAATTGGTCGTACACATCATTTAAGATACATCCTTGACGTTTACCCTACACGGTCTCCGCACAGGGTAAACTTAAGTGTCGAACACCCCTCCGCACACTGGTAGAGTCGAGCTCTTCCTATCCATCTGTGCAGCTATGGAGCGATGTCAGTATCGATGGCGTTCGTGAACAAGGGCCTCCTCATGGAGTACCCGTTTCCAAACGTCGTCCTCACGCTCCAGATGGCTGCCACCGCTGCAATCATTGTGACGGGCCAGCGCCTGCGTTGGTTCAAGGTCAGCCGCTTCTGCTTCTCGGGGCCCTCATTAACGCTGAGCCTACTTGAGTCGCTCCGCATCGAAGCAAACCTCAGATGCTTTAAGATCAAGATAGTTCTGATATTCAGTTTCTTTTCCTTTCACGCTGCTAAGAGATTTGAGTGGTGTCTAGAGAACTTCATCGTCTGTGTTCACTTGTAGACCCGCAAAAAGGTGAGGGTGTGTCATCACTCTCGTTTCGATCGGCCTCCCTCGATCTTGCCCCCCGCGCTTGCAGCTTAACACATACTTGTTTGGCCTTTATAACTTTTGAAAAGACCTGAAGTCAACTGACCGTTTCACTGCACCGTCACCTCTGCTGAATTTTCACTTGCCCCACGTTTTGGAGATTTTGACTCCCTTTGAAGCAAGGGCTAGAAACAATCATCTTTCAAAAGCATTTAGCCTGCGTAAGCCGGAAGGTGCTAAATTGGAACTTGCGGACTCCATCCTTTCCTTAGACTGAGGTCGCAATGTTGAGGCATTGAAATGTTGCGATCTTACCACAGTGTACCCGTTTTGAGTTCATGGAATGCCCAATGCAAGATTTTCATCTAGTGGGGATCTTCTCTATTCTAACATGTGTCCTTATCACACAGGTGCGGCCATGGGACAACCGGGTTGCCAAATCACTGCTTCCGCTTGTCTTTCTGTACAATGCAAACGGTAAGGGATGCTGCGATCTTGAAATCGTGCTGGTGTATGGACCAGCCAGAATAAGAATCGACAAACAACTGGAAAGTATTTCAGACATCTCCTTTGATCATAAAGGATTGGCGTGATGGACTGGTCTTGTCCTCGGCCATTGACGCCGCAGTTGCATCCTTGCACAGCGTATCCAGATTTGCGCTTTCAAACGACCATCTTTTGTACGACCAGTTCTCAATAGGCACAAGGCTGCACAGACTGCCTTTCTCTAGACATCATGCTGTTTGGTGAGGATTCGTCTCGAGGGGATCCCCTCTCAGCTTTTGTGTCGTCCCAGAGACTCACAGAAACTGTGCGTTGTCTGCAGTTGCGTTCGCCCTGGCAAGTCTACAAACGCTGAACATGTAAGTGGTCATCCCCAAAGGAAGTCGGCCCCCTCTCTCTGCTTTTACTTTGCCCAGGACCAGACTGGTGTTGATCTTGTGAACCCAGTTTGGAGAGTTCAAGGCGTAAGTTTACACGGCTTCTGTCAGTACTTTCCGCCATCTAGTTGCGCAGAGTCGCAGCTAGTCTAGATGTGCTGAGGTTGCAAAAATGAAGCTGGGACAGTTGTTACCAACCCCGCTACTGGGTAGAGTATTCGGAAATTCCGTTCTGAATCACTTGAGGCGTTTACTTCTACTGTGAAGAGCGGTTTACAAACCAAGAGCGCTGTGACGCTTCAAGAAAAAGGCGCACGCCTTGCCTTTCGAGCTCGGGTATTTTGTTTTTCGAAGCCTCCTGCCGAATACTGGCGGCATGTAGATCTCATTGCATAGTCGAGTTGACTATCTGCTTCCACATCCTGACGGACTTCAGTCGTTTGGGCGAGAGTAACGATGTAAAAGTCTGTTTTACTTGCGAGGATGTTCCGATCAATCGTGAACTGGGATGTAGTAGGTTCAGAGGTCCCAAACTTATCAACCAGTGTAGTGATCTTCTGATAAGCCGCTTTCCTTTCGTGCAGTCCCATGTACGTGACGCTCAAGCGGCTGACCCCTGTCGTGGTCCTCTTCTTCTCGTTCCTGCGGGGAAAGGGCCGGCCCAGCCTGCAGGTTAGCACTAACCGGATTTCAGTCCCAAACTCGCTTGACGATCTGACCTGAAGTTTGCTTCGGAGAGACCGGCCAGCATGCAGGTCAACTATAGTGAGGTTCAGAACGCGGGTTAGGCGTGCCTGCGATTTGCCGATGTCTGCCTGGGCGACTGGTTAAGTTTTAACAGGCTCGAAACCCCAGTTTTGCTTGCAGTCAGCTCTGGCCACGTGGGCGTCGAGTTGGAGCGTAGTTCAGTAGGGACGAGAGAGATAGCTGCTTCGCAATCCAGAAAGCATGAGCCGAGACACTGTTGAGCGCTGGCTTCCAAACGGGCGTTGCAGAGGACCCGCTCCCAGTCGAAAGGCTGTTTCTCCATCAGCATCTTTCCATCAAAAGGAGACTTAAGAGGTCCCATTTATTTTCTAAATCCTGATCTTTGATCTTTTTCTGTCACCCGACACTCTCTCCCGTCGGCCCAGGTTTCATTATTTCATTGTTTTCAAGAGAGATAATAATAAGCCAAGATAATAGTAAACCCCGACCAACACTAACAGATCACACCAAAAAGACACCTGCTCCGCACCCATACCCACCCTAACCACCAGACTAACCGTACCCGTCCCAGTGCGGATTGATACCTTATTATCATCTCGGCTTATAATTATCTTTCTTGAGTCCAATCCAGGTTTCGTCCGCGGTCCTGCTGACGGTCGCCGGCACGCTGCTGGCGGGCTTCTTCGACCTGAGCTTCGACCTCGCGGGCTACGCTATGGCCTTCACATCCGTCCTGCTCCAGGTGAGCCGCCGCCTGACAGAGTTATTACTTTTCTGGACCGGTTTCAAGCTGGGAGTGCCGCTTTGACGCCTTATGCGCGCAGCGCGTAAATCCACGTTCTGTCGCTTAAGAGGCGGTCCTTCGGCTGATGCCTCAACGGCTGTGGAGAGAGCGGAACCACGGCAAGAGGTGTGTCATTCTTTCCCCCTCAAGTCGTGAGTTCCACCAATACCTAAGGGACGTAGTACGGCGGTTCACACGAGAACAGCGAGTTTTATACCTTGTCCAGCGTTCATCAAAAGAGGAAGCGCCACAGTCATTCCCTAAAGGCCTCCCGTGACAGTATCTAGTCCCCCTAGCGACTGCTACTTCCTCGATTCAACCCATTGTACTGACAGGCGGGTTATCCGCTGACGGTGGAGAAAAGTGGTGCGGCAGAGAGCCTTGCCACCAACGAGCTCCTTGTGTGATGACCTCGCTAACCAAATCTCTACCTATCCCACCTCTCTGTCATGCCAAGATTGCGACTAACCTAACCCACTTTCTGCCAGGCGGGCTATTTGTTGATGGTGGAGAAGAGCGGCGCGGAAGAGGGCCTCCACCGACGAGCTCCTTGTTTGGTGTCCTCGCGAACCAACTCTAACGAACCCCACCCACTTTCTGCCAGGCGGGCCACTCTAACCAGCTATTGCTAACCTAACCCGATTTTCCGACAGGCGGGTTATCTGCTAATGGTGGAGAAGAGCGGCGCTGAAGAGGGCCTCAACACCAACGAGCTCCTTCTCTACAACAGCGCCATGTCGCTGCCGGTGCTGCTGGTCATCGTCGGCGCCTCGGGGGAGCTCTCGCGAGCGCACACTGCCTTCGGAATCCAGGTGGGAGGATATTCCCCGGCATTACGATGCGAGCGAGTTTTTTGCCTCGTCATTTCGTACTCGTGGGCGCTTCGGCAGAGCCGCTCTCAAAATTTAGGTGCTCTAGGTATAGCTTACGCTCAGCCGACCCCGCGTTTTGGGGGTCGTCTTGCTCCAATTTCGCGCTTCGGGAGAGCTCGCTCACGCAGACACGCTGTCTAAACGCTGTCTTTGTTTGAGTGTCTGAATCCAAACTGTTTTAGTGCCAGATTGTTTAAGGTGCAGAAGCCAAACGACACGGTTCTTGCATGCAAAAATGCCTGAGCACGCAAGTTTCAAATCTGTTGAGGGTTTTACAAGTGTTCGAAGTCGATTTGATTGGAGTAGACACCAGATGACCCCACGAATATGTATGTTGAGTTTGGGCGTTTTGCTTCCGTGGGTGGGAACAAGGAGTGATTGACTTGACAATCAAAATTTGGGGGCGTCCTTTCCATCTTTGTTGGAGGCTAGCGAAGCTACACTAACACACGAAAGTGCTCGTAATTGAAAAACCAACGGTGTCTTTCCCGTCGCAATGGTTGCCCTCTTGTGCTCCTCTCGATGTTCCTCATCTTCCTCTCAAGACACCCAGGGCCTGGTATTTTCAACCCCGAAATTGTCTGTAGATTGACAAACGATATATGTAGATCGAACATTCCTAAATTCAGAAAAGATTGTAAGTTTCCACTATGCACGTTCGTATATTTTTAAGAAAAAACAATCTTTCTAGGATCATCTTTGCTGCCTTCTGCAAACCCCTTGCAGATGCTCGCCTCACCCGAGGCTCCTCATCTCACCCCCTATTAAAGCCTCAAGGCCCTTTAATCCAAAAGCCGCCATTGTCAACTCCCTACTTTTTTTGTCAGGTTCCAGGAGCTTGATGAGAGTATTTCGTGACCGTTGGAAACCCCTCGCAGATGCTCTCGTCGTGGACGTTTTTCCTGCTCCTCGTTTCCCTCTTCCTACATCCTGAAGACCCGGAAACTCGAAATGGTTCCTTTTCGACGGTTTCCCTCGTTGCCCTCCTCCTAATCCTGGAAAACCTGGAAACCCGGAACTCGAAACGGTCAATATCTTTGCAGATGCTCTCGTCGTGGACATTTTTCCCGACGCTCCTCGTCTCCCTCCTGCTGGGCAGCCTACTCAACTTCACGCTCTTCCTTAACACCCTGGTTAACAGCGCGCTGACCACAACGATCGTCGGCGTTTTGAAAGGTGTTGTTAGCACGGTGTTGGGCTTTTTCCTTCTGGGGGGGGTCAAGCTGACCCTCCTCGGGTTGTTCGGGATTCTCATTAACACCACGGGGGGAGTGTGGTATTCGTTTGCAAAGTTTTACGAGAAGCGGGGGCAAGCGGCCCGGCCAAAGGGGGAGGGGGTTGCGAGCGAACCGCTGTTGCCGGTTTCGACTAATCCAGGGCCCCGATCATGAGGGTATAACCTGCCGTCTTTCTGTGCCGGCTCATACGACGAAGCCTTGTCCATAATAGACGCTTACACTGTCTCAGGATATACAGAGTACCGCCGGAATTGCCGTTTCCGGAACATGAGGATTGCCAACAGGTTCCCTCGCTTTATGGCAGCAGCTAATATTGATCAAGATACAGCTTTTATTGAGGAGAACCGCTGGCGTCTACGTGGAATGTAAAACTCAACAGGCGCCCTGCGCCCCCTGCACCAGCAAGCAGTGTGCAGATTCGACTGAGAGGCAGCTCTGAAGAATATATCCAAGGTTTTCAGAAACTGTCTGGCAAACCTGCCAACATGCTAGATTAGTTGCATGCATGTTAGTCTCAGTTATGGCAGTGCATTGCCCTGCGGCGGTTTCAGGGCGCCGATCGATCAGAACCCAGGAGGAATCAGCCCAATTACAGGGCACAAGGATTTAGCGAGCAAGTGGCCACGCGCACAGTATGCATGTACACCAATCGTCCAACAGCTTGTCTGTTACTAATTTGCTGCATTGAACCGCTGTTTTTTTAACTCGCATGCCGCGCGCGGGCCCGGGCGGGACGGTCTTATAGAGCATTGGCCGATCGCTTACTAGCAGCTGTTCACCGCATGATCACCACATGATCGCAAGCATGATGATATTGCATCCGGGCGGCGCGGGCCAGCGTACAGTCGAACTTGCTCATCAACATTGATCGAAACCAAAATTGGAAGTAGAGACGGTGTGTCTGCATGACCGTGAGTCGTGCAACACATCATCACACACGCGTTGAATTGAGCACAGCTGCGAAATTCATCAATGATGCAATATCTCACCGAGCGCGTCGTAATGAGAGGCAAGTTTTGAATTTGATGTAAGGAGTCAGCATAATCATCAAGTTTCTTCGCCATCCGTGTCAAAGTAAGACAAGTTCACTGTCTTCGCTTTTTTTTCAACCGGCCCAACCGGCGCAGATGCGGACTCCCCAGCGATTCCGTCAGCTTGTTCCCCGCGGTGCTTCCGCAGATTACTCTTCCCCGCCTTCCCCGCCACTTTCGTCTCACCCTTCTCTTCTTTCTTACTCCCTTCTTCCCGTCCCGTTGTTGTCTCTCCTCGCCCATCTGCAGCCGGCACGTTCTTCGCCATCCGACTCCCCTCCTTCGCACCGGCTTCTTCATTCGTTTGTCCCTCCACTTCGTTCCTCCCACCATCTACAGGTTGCCCCTCCGCTTTTTCTTTTTCCACGTTCTCATCTTCCGTCTCCCCTTTGCTTTTACCAGCGTCCTCTTTCTCCTCAGCTTTTTGACCCGTCCCTGTTCGCAGCGCTTCCGCCACAGCTTCGTCCTTGGCTAGATCCAAGGGCGTCTGTCCCTGCTTGTTTGTCGCAGCAGTATCGGCGCCTTTTCGAACCAACGCAGCGACCATCTCGGCGTGCCCCCCTCCTGCCGCAAAGTGGAGCGGCGTCATCGCCTTTCGCGTGCGCACATTCACTTTCGCTTTGGCGGCCAGGAGCGCCTTCACGGCCGCCAGGTGGCCTCTCTGAGAAACATGGGGACGACCAAGACTCAGCAGATCCGATAGAAACATTAGAAGGAACATCGACAAGGCAAAGAATGAGAGTCGAGTGTGAATATATGAGTGTCAACGAAAGCCTGCACAATTTCCTTGTGAAAAGAAGATGATAATGACATGGTAAAGTCAGGACTGCAGCACGGCGGATAGTCGACCAAGCAAGATCTGTCCGACTTTCACATATGACAGGCCATGAGAACCCAGGCGCCTCACCGCCAATGTCTTCATTCCCATTTGACTCCTTACAAACACTTGCTCTCTTTGCTAATGTGGGACCACTATTTTCAAGCAGCAAGGGACCTCCACCTTTGAAGCAGAGGAAAGCAAGCACTGTAGCAGCACCCGCTAAAAATTTGAAAAGAAGCTTATTTCAAACTTCAAAGAGTGAAACAAAACAATTCCTTGACTTATCGAAAGGGGTGAGAATATTCAGGGAAGAAGTGAATTGACTTCTTCTCTGACTTCTCACCAAGGTGAACATACGGCTTCACATCTTCAGCTGCAATCAGAAAAGTTGGTCAAACATTCTCCCTTGACTGATCCCTTGACATCTTCCCTGACTCCTCACCAAGGTGAGCATACGACCTCATTTCCCTCAGCTGCAATTTGAAAAGTTACTCAAACAAGCAACAAAAGAAGCTGGAATACCAATCACCTGGCTTGCAAAGTGTAGCGCCACCATGTCATCGGCGGCAGCCGCGTTCACTGCGGCATGGTGGTCACAGAGTAGCTTAATGGCCTCCGCATGCCCCGCCCATGCAGCAAGATGCAGGCTGAGCGGGCGGCTGTCAAGGAGAAAAACCAAGATACATAGCCGATGTGAAACAAGGCCAACAAGCCTTGTCACGTGGCTGAAAGTAGAGGGCACAGCTGGATCACCATGCTGAAGTCTTCTTGCTTCGATCATATGTGATGGTTGTCACTGGGGACTTGGCCAATCAGAGTCCAAGCAGTATCAGGCTTGCAGGATAGCAGGGTCTCTAGTGCAGCTAAGCCAAGCCATAACAGCTGTATTCTCAACCAGAGTACCTTTTTTCCTGCAAGATGTCACATGGTCCTAGATATGTCCTCTCGTTTTTGTGCACAATCTGAGGAAGTGCAAGCTAGGCTCCCTCTTGTAAAGGAAGTTAACAATCAAAGGAGCAGTGACATGCAAATAGCACACGAATCTGAAGTGTCTCCATATGCACAAACCGTGAGGATACGGAGTCCTGTTCAGCTTGTCCCTCTCATTGACATCAGCACCTTCAGCAATTGCTCGTGTGAGCCCTGGCAGGTCGCCACTCCTTGCTGCAGAATGGAATGCCATGCTGGGAAACCAGGTGGATTTGAACCTTGGTGAGTAAACGAAGTCAAGGCCTGCAAAAAGCGGCGCTCACATCTAATTCAAAGCATGCATTCCTGTGCACAATGCAGCAGAAGGTAGAAGGGCAGCTTTCCCAGAAGCTAAGAAAAGCGCCTTAGAGCTGACAGAATCAGATTGTGAATAGCTAGAAAAATCATCTGCAATACTAAGTACTGCCCATACTACTACCTAGGGGGTGCCTTTGCCTGTGCCATACGAATGCGAGCAGGGCTCCAAATTCCAATGCCAATGGCAAGGGCTCCCTCCTCGTTCCATTCGATTTGCTTCAAACCCACACACTAACCAAGCAGAACATTTCTCATGAATCGAACCATTTCCGAGTGCATATTTCCACATCAGTTAGCCACTTTCCTTTCAACGTGAGTCCAGGGTTTGTACTTGGTTACGGATATAACCCATTGTCTATCAGAGTCTCTCTGGAGTTCGTTCCTGAGGCAGTCGAGAGAAAGTCTCGAGAAAGTCACTTCAAGAAGGTCGTCATTGAAGTTCATCACAAAGAAATTGCTTTCAATCATCCAGACCCCGTTCTGCAAGTGCTTCTGATTGCACCCTCGACTATGGAGGACGCAGGTGCCAGCCCGAATGCCAGTGCGAAGGAGGCCGTTGATTACGCTGTGTGGCCACCGAGCCAGCAGATGAGGGACCGCCTGGTGGAAAGGATTGCAACCAACCTGACAGCAATGTCATTCTTTGATGAGAAGGTGAAGCAGACAGAGTGTCCGTGTTTCGGGCACCATGGTTAATCTCAAACTATGTTAAAGCGTCATGAGAGTGTGTGGTCCTTACATTGCCACCGGATCCAGAACCTGTGGGGTTGCATTGTTACATCACTTCCAGTTCCTGGTTCGTCCAGTTAGTTCTGTATTCAACTCTTATGAATCACAACTCATATCGCATTGAAGTTTAAACGGGTGTGACAAAGTCACACATTCCTTTGATGCTTCAGAATCATCCCAAAGAATTAGCAGATCTGACTGTGGCGGTATCTTTACTTTGCAGACAGAGCGCATTGATGACAAAGCAGCAGCTGCGTCTGCTGCAAGGATTGAATCCACTGCCTATGCGGCAGCGGAGACCGCCGGCTCTGGTGCTCTGAAGGAATATGCGAACAAGGCGGCAGAGTTGGTGCTGGCAGAACTGCAGCAGAAGTCTGTCGCGGCCGCACCACCAGCAAAGGCACCGACCAATGTGGTAAGCCTGTGAGACTGACGAGCGCAAGTCTTTTGTCGACCTCAGCAATCAAAGATCTTAAGCGCATTGCAATGAACAAGATGCGATACATCTCGCCTATACTTTGCCATGTACCAGGTTCCTAGTATTTCCAGGCTCTGTCCTTTGATAAGGGCCTCTTGGAGCAAGCAACCTCCTATCCACAATCCCAGCCTTGATTTGATCAATCTGCTTTGCATTGATACCTCTCTATTCCATGGCCTCCTACAGTTTGACGTTTCTGGAGGGAAGCGGGAGAAGGTGGACACAAAGGCAGCTGCAGAGGAGCTTCTGAAACCGATCTTGACAGCAGAACACTCGTACACAAAAGTATGCCTCCTGGACGACTTCCGCACCAATATATCATAGCTGACGTTTCTAAGTTTGCTTGCCTCTTCCTGGTCGGTCTGCAAATAGGCCAATCCAGGAGTGAGCGATCCTCTTCCAAGGGGCTGAAGTCCTCTTACTGGCCACTCGGAACTTTGTGCCCCAGTACATAGCCACTGCATTGTCAATCAAAGTTTTGCTGTTGACATTGTGCGCTCCCTCTTGTCAAATCTCCCTAGTTCTTCAAGAGATAAAGCCGACGGACAACATCAGTGCTTATAAGTTGGTTTATTGTGCAGGTTGTTTTGAGCAACAAGAGTTTCAACCAGGAAGGAGCGCAAGTGGTAGCGGCTGCTCTGGCAGCGTCCAAAGCACAGTTGACGGAGGCTGATTTGAGTGACATCATTGCGGGCCAAGAAGTGAGTGACGAGATGCTCCTGACTTTGCTATGCAGCAAACCAAAAAGCACGCCGTGCTTTCATTACTCAGCATCCAAGAATCTTTCAATGCGGCACGGTATGAACAAATAGGTTCCCTAAGCAGGGAATATGACTTCAAACACACCTGTGTTCAAACTGGAGATTGGCACAACCGGACCGGTCACTCTGTCGTCAGGGCCCGTCCGCAAGGCATCTTCAAGAGTCCCTGCAATATGGATGTTGTGTTTCTTGGCGGTGTTTACTGATGAATCGATAGTCAGCGGACAATGTTAGTTGAGATGAGCAATTTCTCAATTGGAACTGCTCCCCGCCTTCTGTTATGAAGGAAAAGGAGGCACTCCGTGTGCTGGAGATCATCACGGGTGCTTTGATTGGCAGCAAGCTGCAATCCCTGAACCTGAGCGACAACGCGCTCGGGGAGAAGGGAGTTCGAGCGGCAAAGGCCATCTTCGAAAACCAGGTGATTTTATTGCGGAAATCGATTCAAAGATTGCATATCCGTCCAGGAAAGAACTATGATAATGATGTTCTACGAAGAAATGCAGGTGTGACTTTCAAAGCTGAAATTAACCAGGAGGAATTCAGCATGGTATTCTGATCGCATCATGCAAGCTAGATACTGCCTGTCCCGGCTTCCATATGTTTCCTTGGCAAGGAGCAGGCTGTTCCCAGAATCGTGCAGTGAGCAGTTGATGCAGTGGGAAAATCGGCAACCACTGAATTGGGTTAAAAGGCAAAATATCTTCTGCAATTTTGCGATCTCTCCAAATCTCGCATGCTGCAGCAAGCTCTGGGCCGGCGGATTTATCAAGTATTTGGTTGGCATCGTCGCGTTTGCATATGGAGCACACTTCATCAGTGTGTCATCTGAATTGACGGAACAGCGCATTCCTTCGTTTGAAGTTGCAACTTACGCTTTGCAGAGCTCGTTGCAACATCTTTACTTCTGCAATAACGGCATCTCGCCCGAGGCTGCCGCAGCGATCCACGAACTGCTGGCCGCGCCCAAGGAGCTCCGCACCTTGCACTTCTACAACAACATGAGTGGTAGGTTATACTTAGGTGATACTACTTTGTTTGCAAAGTTATGCGCCTCGTCAAACATTGACGCAACAATTGGAGCTCAACTGGGACGAATGCCGCTTGTCCTAGTCATTTTGGCCATGACAAGGTTTGCTCGTATCTGTGGCTTTTCGAGCTCTATGCCGGAGGAGTCTTCTTGAATCACGTCGACTGACAAGTGTGAAAGCTCGTCTGCGGTCCTCCCAAGCATGGGGTTCATTTTAAAGTAGAGAACTCAACTACGTACTTCGATTTCAAACAACTGGTGTATCTGCGTGTTCTTGGACCAGGGACGGGAGTCGACGACTCAAGCAAGTTGGATCGATCTAAGCCGGATGCGAACAGCCCGCAGTCTCAAACGATACTCTCCTTGTATGCAGGTGACGATGGGGCAAAGATTCTGGCGAAGGTCGTGACCGCTGCACCAGTGCTCGAGGACTTCCGCTTCTCTTCGACGCGGGTCGGAAGCGAGGGTGGTGCGGCGCTGGCATCCGCGCTACTTTCCGGTGGGTGTTCAAATTGTATGGTGTTGATCAAACGGGCCCAACTTGCTCTTCTTTCGAAAAGGCAAGGGCCGTGTTTCTGCGGTGCTTACTGTAGTTGGACTCTCTACTTGGGCTGGATTCAGGTCTTGCGAGGAAAAGATAGTCAGCTGCGCCAAGTCCGTGAGGAACCTTGAGATATCCAGATCTTGTCTTGAGGCTGAGATTATTGGACTGCACCTGCCGTTCTGACGAAAGTACTGTAGTCCAAGGTGATGCTTCCGAATGAGTAAGTAAAAATCTGTATTCGACAGATAGTCAGATTATCGGATTTTGGTTCGGAAAGTGGAATTTCGGAAAGGTAAAGTAATCTTAAAGTGGTCCTCGGAAGCTACAAAGTTGCCGAAATCAGCTAAAGTGACCCTTCCAAATGAGAATATTAGGGCATTCGGATTCTTGTCGGAATCATCATAATCAATTCCACATCCCTGGTCGGATTGTCGGAAATATTTCAAAATAAAAGCGTTCGGAATTATCATGCTGGACTACGGTAATTCTTGACACGGATATGACCGGCTACTTCAGATCGCTGACCATCAGCTTTCTACGGCCTTCAGGGTCCAGCCTGCAACGGCTAGACTTGAAGGACAACGGCTTTGGCCCAGAGGGGGGCATGGCGCTCGCCAAGGCGTTGACAGCGCATCCAAAGCTCCGGGAAGCGATCCTTTCAGACCTAAGTAAGTGTACAGCCAAGCTTACGTATTTGGTGATTGCCATTTCAGCTCGTGTTCACAGACCAAGCCCCTCCAGGCACGCAGCATCGGACCAGGCAGAAAGCCAACAAATCCCAAGCAATCTCAAGTCGCTGTTTCTGAGGAAGTTGTACCGTTCTCACAACGACAGAATGATGTATCTGGTACCTGTGCATCGTGCACTCGCCATGGCATGGCGTGGAGGAAGACATACCAGGATGCGCGTCAAACCTGATAACAGTAGTTGTTTGCGCCACCTGAAGTCACACATCTAAGCATCCACTCTGTCAGAGATAACGCCTGTGCCGTTCAATTGTGTCGACGGGCAGAGTGCACCGGTATCAGCATTTGGCGTGATTCCCAGGTATTACGGGGCGACAAGGGATGGGTCGTAATGGCCAAGAGCTTCCTGATACGCGGATACTGCCCACGATTTCGCTTTAATCTGGAAAACCTCTGTATGGCAGGCCTAGAAGACGAGGGGTCGGTTGCGGTCGCGAAAGCACTGGCTTCAAGGTGCCCAGACTTGGAGGTGAGACCAATCATGCTCACTTGAGTAGATTCTGCCTTGGCGTGTAGACGAGAACGGAGCTCCTTTTGATATTCCTGCGGGCAAATGGTGACCCTCTTGATGCGTCGGAGAAACCTGTTTGGCTGCTCGGGCACATCTGAATGCTGAACACTATACTGTTGAAACATTCGTTTTGCAGCACGTTCGCTTTTGGTCTGGAGACTTGCCTGGATTGTTCCAAGGGACCAGTCCACCCATTGTGATCAGCAAGCTGTAGGCCCCTTGACACTTGCGGCGGTAACGCATGTAAACGGTTCAACCCGCCTCTGCAACTTGTTTATATGTCCGGGACCGCGAAGAGAAATATAGTGTACCCGGACGCCCGAGCACAGCCGGCCCACGCAAAGGGGAGGAGTAATCAATCTAGCAAATGGCGCTGCCCTTTTTGGACCCGTCTGGAAACGACACCACTGGAACGGCCGTACGCTCTCTTCGCAATTTATTTTGCGAAGTGACAGAAGCTTCTGTTGCGTTTCTCCACTGCAGACGTTCAGATGGACCTGTGCCCAAAGCGTCCAAAATGGTTGGCCGTCCGCTGCAGGCACTGGACCTGTCCGAAAACGACATCACAACAAAGCTGTACGGCTACTCCGGACACTATACGATAAGGACACCAAAAAATCTGTTGCGTTCTGCACTGCGAACGTCCGAAAGCGTCCTATCGTGAGCGTCCGAAGTGGTTGCTCTTCGCTGCAGGTACTGGACCTGTCCGGAAACGACATCACCCCGAAGGCTGCGACCGCCGTCGCGGAGGCTATCCGGGGGAAACAGAAGCTGCGGAAGCTGAACCTGGCGGACAACGACCTCCGGGACCGGGGGGCGGCCGTCATCGCGAAAGTCCTCGAAATAGGGCACGAGTGAGTGCTTTGATGGACTGACAGATCCGCTGTCCTGGTGCTTTGGCGTTGAGGTCGCGTGCCTGGGTGTCAGTCGAAGAATTCTGAAAACCGGAGGGCCCATTTCGCGCTAGTGGGGTGGCTCGACTTGGACTTGATACCGTCAGAATTCGGACTGGGCGACCTTGAAAAGCGCCGATTGCTGGAATTGATAAAAACAATTTCGTTGCCGATCGATCTTAGAATCCTCTGTTTGATGTGACGCAGGCTCACAAGCGGCCTAGTGAACGGGTCATCAAGTCACCCGTTTTCCAATACCATGTTAGTGGGTTGGTTGTCGGTGGTCAGGCCGTCGTTATGCTCGTTTGCAATACAACATTGTGTCAGTGGGCTCCCCCCAGCCCACAAGTTGCGGCAATGGTGCGTGTACTTCAGGGTGGAACCGTGCGACTTCCTTACACAGCACTCGTGTCGTTACTTACGACGCGCCTCCCTCAGCACTCGTCTTTATTTTGCATCTTCGCTGACCGCAGTTCTTCCTCCAGAAATACCAGGGCCTGCAAGACGCAAATGTACGTTAATTCCGGAGATCTATATTTTTATTAGCTTTAACCATGATCGTTTTGACGGCCGACTCTTCCCCAGGTCTCTTGAGGAGTTGGACCTGACCTGCAACAGCCTCGGCCACATGGGAGCAGTCGCTGCCGCCAAAGCGGTCGTCTCCAAACCTGCCTTCAAGCTTTTATCCCTCAATGATAACCACATCTCGGAAAAGGGGTTGGAGGAATTGCAAGACCTATTTCAGGACCGGAAAGAGGCTCTGGGGTCTTTGGAAGATAATGATGAAGAAGGAGAGGAAGAGGACGAAGAGGACGAGGAGGAAGAAGAAGGGGAAGAGGAAGAGGGGCCGGAAGCTGGGGAGCTTGCGGAAAAGCTAGGGGGGTTGAAGGTTTGAATATGAGCTTTCAAGGCGATGTCTCAGGTTAGAACTGCACTGACGGTTATACTTATTATGGATTCGCTTCAGGCGGGCCATGAGGTAATGGCTCCGCGGGTACGTTGAGCCGAGTCTTCAAGAGCTGATTGGTACTACAGATAGTTGTCTACCGAGGTCGTTCTGAGCTTACTTGATGCAGATCTGATACGTCTTGAATGTCAAGACGTGGATATTTAGTACCTTACATGCAAAACTTATGTCTTGGTTCTGTGCAACTTATAGTAACACTG